ACAGGTATATTAAAAGGAGCTGAATGTGATGCAGGAGAGAAAGAAGGCATTGTGCTTGCCTAGTGAGTTCTTTACCTGCTTGTCACAATTGTCCTCCTCCTGGTGCCATGGTACCAAGGCTTGTGCAGGCATCAGCAGAGCAAACAGCATCACACAAATACTGCCTTGTGTGAGCTCAGCCTGGAAATTGGTCCCGCAGGCTACATCTGGGCTAACGAGCAGGAGCAGGGCATGACTGAGAACACCAGCAGTGCTGGTTGAGGGCCAGCATGCCCTGGGATAAGTGATACTGGTCCCCATGGGCAGCCTGGGCTGAGCATGAGTCACTGAGTGGTCTGGCAGTACAGGGAGGAGGAAATACTAGAGAAGAATATTTTGAGATAATTAAATCCTTTCTGGTGTAGCATACTTAACCCTGGTCACATAGGCAGAGGATAGCCTGCAAACTTTGTGTATGTAGAACAGTAAAAATTTTACTGTAATCGATGCCCTTGTGTATGATACCACGAGTCAAGGACAGGAGAAGCCCTTCAGTACTGGCTGCAATAGAAGCAAGGATGAGCTGTACTTGATATGTGGTGTAGAGGGTAAAAATTGTAGCTGCTGTTCTTGAATCACTGTGAAAACACTTGATAACAGCAGTGCAGCTCTGCCTGTGACCCACACATGGGTGGCCATTCCTGATGCCCCTCACAGGTGTTGCCTTGTGGCAGCGCAGTGCAGTCCCACACAGTGAGAGAGGTCACTTTGGTACCTTCACTGCCTCTCTGGGATGGCTGTATAACATCAGCCCCCTCCCTAGGTAAATAAGGATGGTGCTTGCAGTAATGCAAAATCAGTTCATCACGGAGTGGCATTTCGCCTGCCTCACCCCTTTTTTTTCCCTCCTCCTTCAAAAGTTACTCAAAATGATTTATTAGTGTGCTGCCCTAGCCCTTCCCAGAGGGCTTCTGTTTAAACCTGTGTTTTCATCTCAGCTACCTGTTTTACAACAGTTCATTCTAAAAATGTATAAAATTGTGAACTCTAGACAGTTGTTGATAAGGATTCCTGATAAAGTAATTCCGTGCATCTGCTGCCAGATAGTCTGGCTCCAGAAGTATCCCTGTCTCATCTGAGGGCTTTTGAAAACAAAGCTGAATGACCTCTTCATTTGATTCTGTAACTGACTTGAGTTATAAAGTAATAATGAAATACCCTCAATCATAGCTCCAAGGTGCTGATACAATATAAAGCAATTATCAAATCCCCAGGAGCTGCTTGCTATGTTTGGGCATTTTGCTGTGAATTTTGCAAGGAAAAGTGGAGTTCAGGAGATGCTCTGCAGATGCTGAGTGAGAGAGTTGGAGGCTGAGAGTTTAAGAAAGGGAAGAGGGAGACCTGAAACCCAAAAATGGTAAAAGCAAAGTGAGTAGTAGGAATAACATTCTTTTTGTGAGAACAGTTTGCTCACCGCTGTTCTTTAGAAAGAATGGGTGAATGAGTTCTATTAAAAGGAAGCATTTCCTTGTGATCATAAAAGTTTGGAAACACCGTTTTATCAACATCATGAATGCATGGTAATTATATTTTCTCATGGAAAAAGATTAGATGATTATGTACTTCATGCTAATGCTGAATATTGTCTCCGTGCCTTCAAGTTTAGAAGGAGAAACTGATGTTCTTGGGTAAGAAGTGGTTTTGTGACAGCTGCAGTTCAGAGGTAATATAATACATTATCATTTTTTATGTAGCAGTCTATCAAATCAGCCTAATTTTTATTAATTTTTTATTAATTATTATTTATTTTTTCTCACATAATAATTCATGGGTTGGAAAGAGGCATATGCTCTTCTCACCGTAGTGTTTCTTCTATTCTTGCTTTTGCTTTAAATATGCATTCCCGTTGTGTCCAGTTCTTTCTCTTTTCCTCTAGTTCTTGATTTCTGTTCTTGGTGGTTGCTGGCTATCTTCTGAGCAATCCTACCATGTGAATATCTTCTCATCCTCAGATGGCTACCTCTTCCTTGTCAGTTTCCCTGTGAATATTTTTTGTCTAGAGTATAGGAGAAATTAAATCATCAGTAGTATCAGTAGTTCAGTATCAGAACATCTGATCAGTATCTCTGCTGTCTTATGCTTTACTGGGAAGAGCACCATTTGGTGGTGATCAACTAGTATGAGGGAGATTTGATGGCACCAATTCTGTCTATTTGAAGGGGAAAATGGGTTTAATTGAATGGGAGCTTCTTGTGGCAGCACTTTACCAAGTGGACTATCCTCGAAATTGCTTTTAACTTAGAAGTTGGCTGTAAGAGGTGAATTTAAGTTAAAAAGAAATAGAAATAAGTGAAATCTTCTCTTGCTCATTCAAAACTCTTCACTGTAAGTGTTTTACTTTGTGGGCAAATTTTCAAATTCCCTTAGAATGAAAAGTAGCTGCTCCATGTCTGTCTGTGCTGAAATAGGTTCTGTGTTTCGGTAGTGTCCCCGGTGACATTTTTGTTTCTCTGTGCTGCAGAGCATGCTCAGCAGTGAATTATGTAGTTTGTGCCATTTCTCATTGTTTCTGATTATTAGTCATTGGGGAATTAATCTGCCTCTGCTTTAGATCATGTATGCTTCAAATTTTTTCTGTAGCAGATGGATGTGACATGCTATTCAACACTGAAAATTGACTGAAAATATTGGTAGAATTTAATGGTTATTTGATCTTAATGGTTGCTATTGTTGTATGTGCCTAGGTTAAAAATAAGTTACGACTGAGATTTTTCTCTTTTTAATTATTTATTCCACATGCTGCAAATTCATTCAGTGATCTCAATGAGTTCATTCCTTTTCACTCAATAATGCAAACTTTTCTGAAGAAATTATGTCTTAATTACAATTGTATAGTCTTATCAAGTCCTCAGTGATAACCCTGTAGATCATCTAGACTAATTCTTATGGAAGAATAAGTGTTGACATTTTCATAGCGGTGGTGATAATTAATTCCTCTTCACTTCCCCAGCTTGTGCCATCACAGCCTTGGGAAGAGTGATGTGGCTGTGCTGTTCTGATGGGGCTGAGGGCCGAAGAAACCCAGGTCAGTCACATCAGGTCCTCAGTAGAGGTTTCCCAGTTAAGAGGTTGTCTTCTTGTAGTGACTGCTTCAAAACAAAGTAGCACTTCACATGTGGGCTGAAAATGGGCTGAGCAAACTCGAGGCATTTTTTTTCCCCCTATTGTCTTTGACTTCCTAGTTTTCTCTTTCTTGGCGGAGAGACATTTTGCAGTTTTTCTTGAGATGTCATGTGAGGTGTTTTTTTTTTTTTGCCCACTGAAGTAATGAAACGGCATGTTTAATTGTTAAGGTGATTCGCTAGATAATAGGATTTCAGGGTCATGGCTTTTATTCTCCCAGGGAACCAGTGTTCACGCATCCTGGGTTGAATCAATGCTCCATAAGGTAGGCATTCTGGTTTTCCTATCAACTAATTCACTTCATCGAAGGAGATAAGATTTGCAACTGAAGCTCAGAGAAAAGCTATTTCCTGCAGGTATATTTACTAACAATTTAGAGAGTTGCATGTCCTACACAATCCTGCCCTGTCTAATGGAAACATTGTGCATCAGCACTTGAAGGTCAGGGATCTGAAGGAATCCAGGGATGTCACAATGCAGGAGGCTGAAGAGCATGGATCTGCTTTCACTCAGCTATGATGTAAAAATGCCTTACAGATTAATGATGAATTTTTATTCCATGTCATTGAAAAACTCTTAGGATGGCTTGTAAGAACAGAAGAGGGGACCTAACAATGGATATTTACAGTTACTATTAAAGAAGTCTGCACTGAATTCCATATGGACAAATGCAAATGGAAAAATACAGGGGCTGGGAAGGACATCAGGCAAAAAATTTGTATGGAGTCTTTACAATTTCATGAATTCCAGGTGGAAGGAGCCATGCTGTATCTCTGGCTAGGCAGTGGTGGTTCTTACAAAGCGTGAGCAGTTTGTGTTACACTAGAGGCAGCTGACATTTCTGTGCTGCAGAGTTCTGGTGTGATGGCTCAGTGCAGCCAGCAGCACGCAGCGTTTTGTTTTCTCACAGAAATACTTGGATGAATATTAGAATAATAAAGCAGGTGACTTTTATGAAGCTATTGTAGGGCTTCTGGCTCAAAGCAATAGATAAATACTTTTCAGTAGGCAGGCTTTCTTAATTAAAAGTGGATTTCACCTTAGCCGTGTTATCATTTACCTCATAGGCAATGCAGAGAGCTGACACATGTATGTTTGTCAAATTATGTCAGATTTAATCGAGTATCCTGTTATACAAATAGCTATAATGGTATGTATTAGAAAGGAATTAACATTTTCATATGTAGTGATGTATGTTTTTTTAAAATTTTAAATCAGAATTAACATTCTGAACATTGTGCTGCTTTTTGGATGCACCTTTCAGCTGCGAAGGTGATGTGTTTATTTCCACATCTGTTGCTTTCAGAACTTAGAAAACAGGCTGCTTACTGTATGGCCTGCATGCACTGTATCCCCCTGAAATCTGTGGTAAATGTGGAAATACAGTTGAATTTCAAACTATTTTCTTAAAAAATCATTTTTCCTATGGGCTGTATATGAAGATGAAGATAATATACCAAATCTGTGGGTAGAAGGGAGTGCCTGAGATCTAGACCCATCTCACTCTGTGCAATGCAGGGGCTTCTTCACCTAAAGCAAATAAAGTGAGTGACACTGTATGTTGTCAGTGGCCTAGAAAGTAGTTTTTGCATGTGTTGTTGCTTTGACATACAGCTTTTTGTAACAGTATATGTACATTTTATTACCTAAGCATCTGTATGGGAACTGCTGAATCATGGCCTGCACCTCTGATTGATCACCTGAGGCGAGCAATGAGTCAGCCATGGGAGCACAGGTGAAAGCAATTCACCTGTGCTGCTGGAAGGGGTGGAGCCTGGCTGCACCTCTCCTAGACCCATTTAAGAGCTGACTACCAGAGGGGAAGGATCTCTTTCTGGAGATTCCTCTGTTGGAGTTTTACAGCAAGCCCAGGACATGGGTAAGCATTCTATCTATTCTCTTTTTGTTATAATAGCCTGCTTAGCCAAACTCTCTTGTTTATTTCATAATTATAACATCTGTATATTCATTGATTACACAGCATCAAATAAGGATGTTTTGGATGGCTGTAAGTGAATTTTGACCAAATGGAGAGGATATAGATCAGTAACATCATTCTCTGACAAATGCCAGAAATACAGAAAGAGCTAACAGAGCTAAATGAAGGCACTATCCTGCTTTTGTTTGTGGTATAGCCGTAACATTTTCCCACTGCAAATCTGGAGAAGACAATGTGAGGCTGTACCTTTTATATCTGTGCTTATACCAGGTAAACCTTTGCTAGTATTGAGGGTGTTATGTGTTTAGGACAGGACTTTTGGCCTTGGTTCATTGATCCAGAGGATGCATCCAGCCTGGATTCAGTGCAGCGGGAGACAGAGATACTTCTGCTTTGCTGGTTGCTGCCATCTGGTTTTGTGGCATTGGTTAGCATGGGGACAACTACAGAGAAAGCTTTTTGGCTGGTCTGAGATTGTAGCGCGGGGTCTCTGGCCAGCATTGATGGTAGCCTTTCACATTCAGTCACAGGGGAATCATTTCTTTGTTGCACAATCACTTTGTCATCAAATTGGATGACACTACAATGGAATATTTTAAGCCAATTCAGACAGTGGGAATTAGCTACAATTGCAGAGGAAGTAATGGTACTCATTAGGAAGCTTTATGTGAAGAAAAATGGATGAGCAGTGAAACTTGGGTTGGATTTAAGGCTGTATGCTATCATGCAGGAATTTCTGCTGTGACTTTTTTAAAACTTAATTCGTCTCACTTTGGAATGTGTATTACAATCTATCTTTTAATATCCTCTTAACGTTTTAACTTAATAGATCTCCTGATGTTTTGATAGAATTCTTTACTAGTGATTCCTCTGGTTGTTCTTCCTGATCGTTGTAGGTTAGACTTGTAGAGTTCCGTACTTTAAGCCCTGGGATTGACAAAGTGTGCCTGGAGCTGTGTATGTGGTTTGAGTTAGGTGTGGGAATAGATGTTCCGTGCCACTTTGTGTTGGGCACCTGAGCTGCTCTGGTTGACAGCAGCCTCAGTGCAGTGGTTCCAGCAGTCTCTTCTGATGTGTGTGTATGATTATGTTGGACTGCATGCTGCAGCGTGGCATTGTTGTTAAGTTTGACCTATATGTACCTTGTGTGTGTAGTTCAGAGGAAGATGAATCTGTTTTTATGTTGCTCTGTACTAGGAAGCCTACGTTTCTGCATTACTAACTTAAGGGTGAGCCATGTAGGGAAAATCAAGAGAGGAAAACCATTAGTGCAACAATAAAGCACTTTTAATTTAACTACTCCTATGAATGAATAACAGTGAAATGTAATTCACTGAGTGAGTTTTTATGCTCTCTGAGTTTGAGAGGGTCAGTGTTAATAAGTAGCCAAGGGCATGTCAGATGGAGAGGGGATCGAATGTCTGCAGGTCGGTGTCTGCCAGTATTTTTTGGAAGGTGTGATAGAAAAATAGCAGCATGGACTCCTACAGATGTGCATATTACAGTACTCTGTGCCCATCCTCAAAGTGGGAATTTCCTTTGAAGAGGAGACCTTTCTGCTCTGAACAGCTTGAAAATGGAGAGAAATACTAAAAAAAAAGTGAGAATTGCAACTTGATCATTCCCCAAGTGCTATCTGTTCCCTCAGCAGTAGCAGAACTCGCTGTTACAACACAAGCCCAGCTGTAACCCAGAACTTCTGTATAGAGAACAACTTGGAGAAATTGAAGAGTTTTACATTAGGAAGGAGCCTCTCACAGACTGACTGCAGCAGAAAATCTGCGTGTTGCTCCTATATAAATACTGCTGATATGTATGAGGGATATGGGGACAGCAAGGGGAAAGGGAACTTGCCCTTTTGCTATGACACCATTTTGTTTTCTGAACTGGAAAAATAATTTTACTCTCCATCTCTTCTCCCATCTTTATCACTAAATTACAAGAGTTTGAATCCTCTAACAAGGGGAGAGAAAAACTGAATATAGGTTTCAAGAATGGTAGCCTGGAAAAAAAAATCTGCGTCTATCCATCTATTTCTTTATGTAAATTCACCTAGCAGCATATCTGTAGCCCACTCTCTTTTCTTTTTTCAAATCAGATCTGTGCTTTCAGGAGACTTTCCTGGTTTGGCATGTGTTTGCTGTGCAGAAGTTTTGGAAGGAAATTGGTGTTAAAAAAAAGTGCTAACCACAGGCTTCAAAATGGAACAGCTTGGAGGAAATGGAGCTGCCTGTACTTTGATTTCCGTACCTAAACCTGCATGCTGGTACAGAACTGTCACCTTCTGGAGAGAGAGCGATTTAGTGAGGTGAGAACATGGGGGAGGCAGTTTCTTTTGAGTTTCTTCTTAGGAACACCGCTTAGTTCCTAAGGGTTATTGCTCTCATTCCTTATAATAGAAGAATAGATTTTAGTCCATGGATTTTTGACATGTGGTTTATGTTTTCTCTGATATTCTTGACAATAGACTTGCAATTTGATATTTGAGTGAGATAAGATGTTTTGCTGCTTGCAAGCTATTCTTTCCATTGAGAAATAGAGATGAAGATCAGTTCGTTTTTTGAAGAGGTTGATAACATCACTATGTTGAGCTCTTTTCCCAGTTTGCATCAAAATCTCAGCAAGCCTTTTCTTCAGGTGCTTTTATTTTGCTTCTTCTGCTCTCTTGGAAATCGCTGTCACATGAATCCAAGTGTAAACATCTTCACATTTACAAACATTTTGTAGCACTCATAAAAACATGGCTTTTTCAGCTTTATGCAACCACCTGACATTGTACAAGGAAGCCTAAATTCGTCTCTGCTTTGCATCTTGTGATGTCTTGAAGTCTATCGTGAGCATATGTGTAATGTGAAAGGTCTGTCAAAATGCAGAGCATTTCAGTCTCCAAAGACTCCCAGCTTTCTGCCTCCAGCACGTTCTGCTGGCTCAAGGTAATGCTTTAGTCAAGGCTGGACGTGTCCTGAATTTTTTAATCTTTCGTCAGAAAGTTCCTGTTTAAATCTGTCACAATCTTCAGCATTTATATGTCCCTTCTGAACATGTAATAATAAATTCATGCTTAGTTAACTATTTGACTTCTTTGGGGCAGCTCTGGCTATAGATTTAAAATTACTTATTTTCTAGAACTGCTATCTGAGTTTGAAGTTGAGAGTGATGCTTTCATGTGGAGATGCTAATTTAGAGCAGAGGGCTGGCTGTTGTATCTTGCTACTCTGCTGCTTATGAAGTCTGTTCATTGAATCTGAAATATCAGTCTGGTGGTTTCCTAATGCCTCAGTGGCTGCTGCTGAACCTGGAAATTTTGAAATGTTCAATCTGTCTGTCTCCAAATTGGCAGAGCTTTGTGAGACCTGCATTGTGAGCAGTCCCAGCTGGTGAGATCTGTACTTAATAGGAATATTTGTGGAAGAATTGTTTTACTCAACAGCTGTTTTTGTTTCATAACAAATTGCTATTAAAAAGTCAAAGTGTAATGATGAAAGATGGGAGAGGTTCAGAAGCCTGAAGTCCTTCTAAAGGTGGATATCTGGATGTGCCTGTTAATAGCTACAGTTTTAGACTGATTTCCAAATTCAGTGTATGTTACCTCAGAACATCTCTGCCACTTCAGGGAGTACTTAAATTGGGAATCTGTAGATACTGATTTATAGAGGATGAATACTGTGCATTGTTATACAACCTTGGTGTCTCACATATCCATCTACAGAGAGAAAAGTGATTGGCTTCTTGTTTCCCGTGTTTCACATGCTTTTATGAAGCAGAAGGAAGGTTGTGATGAACTGCTGTAACATCTTATTTAATACATACATAGAATCAAGATGCTGAAACTTTAGCCCAGTAAATGTTTCAAGGATGGTTAGCTACAAGTTGTGTTGGCATCAGCTGGTAGCTTTGTAACACGGAAATGTTTTTGACCTCCATGACAGGCATAAGGAACTTTGCCATTATTTTAACCTTCTGGGCTTTTTTTTATTATGTCAGGTTCAATATTTGTTTGGAGGCTGATCTGTCTGAGCAAGACCACTAAATAGCAAAAGTAAAATTAGATTGCTTTTCTAGAGAGAACTATTTGTATATGCAAGTATGCCTGTTCCTTGGCTTGCTCATATTAGATTACTTGCTGAATAACTCTGCAAAACAAATTTGTGGAAGGTCAAGATAGTTGAGAGTGATTTACTGTAAGCAGGGAGCGAAGGTGATTTATGCTGTCTGTTCTCTCCATGTGGCAGCTTGGGTCATGCCTGCTGACTCTGGTGCCTGTAATAGCTGGGGGCTGTGCTTGTCTTCCTTGCAGGATCATTTCTTCTGGCTTTATTTTCACGTGGTTTCTCTGCCGAAGAGGCACAGAAGGAAAGATTTCTAAGTGAGTTAATATACTGCATGGACAGCTGAAACAAAATCCTTTGTGTAAAGCCTGTTTTGCTGTTGATATGTTCTTGTCACCCTAACTCTGATACATTTACATCAACTCTGCCTTTCATGAGTCAGAGCATATATAGATTTTATTTGAGTTGTAGATCTAGCTATGTTCACGTAACTCTTCTGGGTGCCTGTAAGAGCATGTGTGCCACCTCTTTGACATGAACCTAACCGTAAAGCTGCAGAATGTCCTGTGGTGAACTTGGTGAGGAACATAACATTTTATGAGAAGCATTTTTGTTCACTATTTTGAATACTTAATGAACAAGAAGAGTGCTGAGAAGGACTGTGTGTGCTGGTGATTAGGGATGTACAGGAGAGCTGGGGATTCCCATTCCTTCAGATCAGGAAAGGAAGTTTCCTATGCAGCTCTAGGCTGCTGCATTCACTGAGCAGCCAACCACAAAGGTTGTGGACGGGACTGGTGTTAGGAATGCTGCTGCAGTCTCTTGCGTGTTTTGGGATTAGGTTTCCAATGGATGAACTTGACAACGCATCCTGGGTTGGACTTAGCATGG